AAGCAAATCTAATGAAAAAAGACATTTCCCATCTTTCGGAGGATATCAACTTGTATCGGGGTGTGAAATAAAACGCTCGCTCTGGCTGGTGTACAGTCGATATGTATTATTTTGAATGTCGAATCTTTTGATTCAGCCCCAATTCTTTATTTTTCTCCCTCGTTTCTAATCTTGTTCTTTGCAAATATGAATAAGATTACTTGATTGATTTTTCATTTTTAAGACGCTTTTCTGCCTGCGTTACAAGGATTTGTACATCCTGAACTGGCACTGCGCCCGGCCATTTGACGGAGAATAAACCATAAAATTGGAGGTTGTAACTGCCGAAGAAGATCTAACTTGCTATAGCTGACACTATATTCATTCTCGCAATCCGATCATGCCTTATATGTTTGCAAACATGTCTATTGTACGCAGGTGACTTACAAAGGAATCGTGAGTGAACAGAATCCGTGTTTTGCAATTTTTCTAAAGTGGATAGACAGTGTTTGCTGTGTGATGACGTCGGCCCCAACTTTGATGCCTGTAGATACAAACATTTAGTTGTTCCTAGTTGAGTAGATAATTAAGTTGACCCATATGTCCCAAATGCGAAGTTCTTGTACGTTCAATTTTCGTCTAGTCCTAATTGCAATAATTCGGTTTGCTGGCTAAACTACAGTACACAGCCTGACGTCGCGACAAGTACGATCCACTTTACACCGCCAAAAGTTTCCTAACCATCACCTAGGCAACTTGGCCCGGTTAATTTTCAGCCGACCCAATGTATGATAGGTAGGCGTTCCCGTCGTCAGTTTTATCCAGATCGCCTGAATGAATGCCTGGAGGTATAGACACCTCGGAATGATTGTGGTAGCTAGCACCAAAGTCCCTCCACGTCCATCTTCACTGGCTTCTTTACAATAAGGCTTTCAAACAAATCATGGTTTCTGAAGACTGATGTCATGCTGTCGATGATGGTGCTGAGGAAGGAATATAGGAATCTCAAAGGTAAACGAGGTTGCTCGTGCATTGGACTTGCACAAATGCTCCTCGATTTTGCAATTGCATACAAGGCAGTTTGAACAAATGAGGATACGAGTAATTACCTCAACGCCTCGCCCATTTTTAAATATAACTACTGAACTGCCCCAAGGCGAAGAGTGTTTTTTGGCAGAACCATTTCTTCATTCAGGCCTGCGACCTGAGGTGGTTAAGGGTAAGACGTTTTTTTGTGAATTCACGACTGTGATCGAACAGAATCCAATTAGTCAGTTGCTTGACGAGTCGACGTTCGAAAATGTTGGAAACCTCTTTATCACATAGCTTAGCTCTACGCAGGAAACGAAGTGTCCAAGTAATTCGAACACAAGCGCTCAATTCTACATATCCGTGTGAACCAACGGGTTCTCCCTTCTTTGTTTTCCTTGGGAACAGTTGAAAAAAGAATTTTCAATAGTAGGTCTCTCCGTGAAATAGCTGCATGAAAATTATTCAATCATGCGTTTAATGGACGTCTTTGCCAAAGAAAATAGCACCCCACAAAACTGACAAACTTTGTGTTGTTACAGATATATTCGGTAGGGCAATGAGTAGGTTGCTTATAAATTCCACTACCTTCTCCATATAGTGTTTTGCGGCCCAAATTTTCTAGAATGTTTATTTCCAATCTTGGTCCTCTGCAGGCGAAATAGCAGCAGCGTCGGCGATCGTCCCCGAACAGAACCAGTTTCGATGTGTCTGGCTATCATTTGGTTTGTGTGAGGTACCTTCCAGGTTACGCAGTGCGAATTCCGTGACACTTCACGCCTTATTTGATTTAGAAAAGGTAGGCAAATTTAACGAGAATTCACTCGGGATGGAACCAAACGCCTATGCCTTATGTGTAAAGACATCGTTTTGCTGATGTCAATTGACTCAAAAAGACCATTCTAATGAGAGAGTGATTCATATACCGGATTATGTTCCATGAAATGGCGTTTTGTTACGGGGCTGGTAAGCTTCACCGTACTGAGCTAGTTCAACAATCATTCCGCGCAGATGTGTGTTCTCAACTGTGGCTGGGATTGCACATACTGGATGAGATTTTTTTCAACTTAGACATAGAAACGGGTCATTGTGATTTCAAGTGCTCTGTAACACTGTTTGTTGCTAAGATGCCAGCGAATGCCCAAAGAAGCATCAGTTACGTATTAATGACCCGTAGAGAAAGACGGAATTTGCGGCTTATTGAGTCGAACGAGAGACTCTATCTTTTCGGTGACTTCGACAATATGAGCGGAGATGCTTAAATGGAGAGTGACTCCTCCATAAAATATACAATTTCCGAACACCTGTATTCCGATAGAATGTATTATGGTTTGGGTTCAAAAACCAATATAGTACTTATTTGCTTGTTATAAATATCAACTGGTTTAAATGCAGAATTTGAGCCTCACTGGGCCGAAGATCCACAAATCATTTGTTCTCAAGATGTCTGTTGCAGGATAGTTAGTATTAATCTCGGCAAAATCATAAATCTGCAGGCGTTCCAGACCGTTCGGTGAGAGGCACCCGATACCATGCACCGATTGCGTTTGAGTGAGAAACCAATAGCCTGTAGTTGAACGCTTTGTGAAAGAAAAATGTCATTTTGCGCATATAAACTCGTGATTAGAAATGGATCTGTGCGATTTGTAATTCGTAATCATGGTTGGGAGTTCTGAGGCAGTTATTCAAATAAGCCGACGTAAATTGCCAGTCTTATGCGATGTTCCATGTGGGAAAGCTCAACCATAGTGTTGTTGGTTGCGGTCAACAGAACGAAGTGGTGGGTTTTATTTCGCCAACGTGTTATAAACCAGATTTCCGGGTCGTAAATTATATAAAAATCAACATGTTTTTGATCCAGAGGAAAAGAGAATTAAGTTCATTATAGGATTATCAAATCCAAGAACACATGTTGGCAAACACTTGGCACTCTAATGGGCGTCAAATATGTTAGGACACTGGCAGTCTCTTTTGAAATAAAAGTGAATTTCGCAAAGACCAATTTAATTTTTTGATGAGTACAAACGT